TGGTGACTCAACCACCTCCCTTGGCAGCCTGTTCCAAAGCTTGGCAACCCTTTCAGTGAAGAAATTTTTCCTAATATCCAATCTAATATCATGCATACCAGTGAGGGATCTGTCTGTGAGGTACCCTACCCACTACCCGCTTTAGCTGTCCTGTCTCCAGGGAACACAGCCTTTTCCACAGGGCATGGCTCTGAAAGTAAAAAGTGCGAGATTATGGATCACAACAGTCTGCAAAATTTGTAAGTGTAGTTCTAAATTAATTCTGCTATTTTTTTTAGAAACTATCTTCACCATTTCTGAATGTTCAGAACAGGCAAAACCTTAAAGTTAGATCCCAACCCTGCAAAGGGAGGCTGCAACATCTATACACCACTGCTTTACGGATTCTAGCCGTGCTGCCTGGTACTCATGGTTATAGATGTTTCCAGGTTCTTACCATTAGGAGAAACCCCGAAAAAACCCCAGACTATCAAACTGTGTGTATGAGCTTCTTTAGCACACCTCTGTGAGCCACAGAGCACAGTTTTAATTCAACCTCAGCTTCCCTCTCCTCAAATCATCTCCTTTAGCACTCCAAACGCACACAGCTAATAACATCAGAAGGGTCAGCTAAGCAAATAGCAGCACAGCCAGGTGAACCAGGAGAAGTATTCATTTCACCTGGGCTCCTGACCTGCTAGAAGGCAGGAAGAGGTGATATAACTTAGCTGGAACAAAGTTTTTTCATCCTTTACGTGCTCTTTCTCCTTGGGCCTGTGAATGTGTTGATAGCTGTGCAAAGTCTTCTAGAGTAGCACCTTCAGGTATGAGGTGGGTTAACCTCAAGGCCACTGTCTCAGAAATGATGCAATCCAAACCTCCAAAGTCAAATCCCTGGACTAAAAGATGTCCTTGTAAAGACATTTGAATATATCTATATATTCACTACATTGTTCTCACTGTGTCCTTGAATCTGCGTTTGGAAAAAAAAAAAAAAGGCCAATTCAGTAGAAAGCATCCTCCTCCCTGTCCCATTAACCTGCTTTTATTTCCCCTAGCTACCAGCACACAAAGAGAAACGGCAAACCAGTAGCAAATCATACCCCAAGCAACTGCAAGCGAGGTTGAGAGGGGGGTGGCATTTCTTCCTGCTGAAACCCAGCAGCCCCACCGGGCTGAACATTTGTGCTTCTTGACAGCGGGCCAGCAAGCAGAGAAATGAAGCCCTGCCACAAGCCAGCCTGGCTATCTGGGCATCCTCACTAGCAGTAGCACTCCATTGAGCCGAGGGCTCATACCACCATCACACCATATAGCCGCCCTCCACCTTGGCTCATTGCTAATTCAGGGTTACGTTATTCCCATGAACTGCTGTTTGTGTCTCTGCGTGGAAAGCCAACAAGGGAACATGCTAGCCTTCCGAAAAACCATACTCTGTGAGGAGGAGGGGATTAGGAGGGAACAATGCTGGAGTGTCTTTAGTGAGCTGGAAGCAATCCCAGCTCCTAGCTACACAATGATATGCAGGAAGGAGTTTTGAAAGCTTCCCAGTCACAGAGGACTCCTGTGTGCCAGGCTTGGAGACGCCTGGACATAAAAATGGCCTTTACAGCATAAGGATGCAAGAGGACTACAGAACCCCACACACAGATTGGCCCTGGCCAAGTGGGAAATGGTGTCTCAAGCTTAGCTTTTTCTTTCTTGGCTTTAGGTGCTAATTGATTAATCTAGATCCTTAACCTTATTGAGGTCAGGGGCTTCAGCACTAAACAGTCTTAGAAAGGCCAGACTTTCACAGGAATGAAAAAGTCTACTTGCCCAGACCCAGAGCTCTCCAAATACTGGAGCTGAAGTGCAATCAATTGTATGTTGGAAAGGAATGACAGGGGGAGATCATGCTTGATGGGATGCACATAGGGGTGCAAAATCATGTCTCATGCAGTTTTCAGTATAATTTGCATGTGTTGTAACAAGCTCCAAGGCACATAAAGCAGCTCTTAACAAACTATATGCACGGTATGAAACAGGATCACGTGGATACTCATGAAGATGTTCCCCATCGGTTCACTCTGATGCCCTGCCAGCCACTGTGATGTCATGCCTTCCTCCAGCCTGCCACAAACCTTCTCAAGCTTGAAGAGGTGATAACCCCCAAAACCAGTGGAGAAACAGTGAAGGTGGCAATGGAGACACCCACAGGGAGCAGGAGTGAGAACATCAAATGCTGAGCCCCAGTGATAATTTTATTGGATTCAATAGTGGACATAAAGCAACATAAAGAGGGTACCACTGATTCTTATCAATGGTGCTTACACACCTGTAGGCCTACAAAGCCCATGGAGGAGAGATTATAAACCTTTCACAACACTGATTCCATTCCTGTTTCTTGATTATTCTGAGGATGAAGTAATCATTGCTCCATAGAAAGCATTTCAGATTATTTGAAGAGGTGTGCCTCACACAGACTTTGTTAGTGTGACTGCCTCCTAAAGCTGTGCCATAGAAACAATCTATAAAAACAATCAAACCAATGATTTAATACCTACAGACAATAACACAGTACAAAAATATATCAAGCTTGCCATTCATTGCACCCACAAGGCAAAATGCCAGTAAGGAAAAAAAGACGTAAAAATAGGGTGACGGGGAAACATGCAGGAGTGCTTGACTGGATGAAGCATTCTGGAGGATGAAAACAAGGAATAATCAAACTGCTCAAAACTTAACCACCAACTCAATGGGATAAAGCTTCAAGATTTGACAGCATTTCCAAGAGTATTCCAGTTTTGAGGAGAAGATCTGGGAGGTGAAACCTGAGCCAAGCACAGGGAATAATAAAAATGGAAGCAACAATCTCTGTGCTTTTTTTGGACTGTGAATTCATGCTCCCCAATAACATGAAATTGGGCTGCAGCAGAAAAATACACATGCAAACTTCTGCTCCAGAAGAACTGAAGTTTTTAGACCATCATACTTACATTCCTACTGAAAAACACACTTAGGCACAAATTTAGAGAGTACACACACTTAGTGTTGATCTGGCTTTAGACTCCAAAACAATCCCACAAAACATACTGATACGTACTTTAAAAACTGGGGCACAGGGAGCCTTGCATGGGCAACTCAGGCTTTCTCCTACAAATACCAAGGATTAACCAAGTCAAGTTGGCACTGCTGATAAATGGCACCACCGTGACAAAGCTGATACTCCGCCAGTACTTTCTATTTTTAAGAGATATTCTGAACAGTGTGCTGTGTTGAAGAGCTGCTAGACGAAAAGATTCTTCTGATATAAATTCATCAGTCTCTCCTCACGGAGCTGATGTCTCCAGACACTATCTTTGGGAAGATAACATGCATATGGAAGAGGAATTGTAAACTGTCGGTGCAGCACGCACCCATACAGCATAATCAGATAGGAAAAAACTGCTGAGTGCTCGTGCTGCCAAATGCCTAACATACACACAAACCCCTTTTAAACAACTGCTCTAGGAAGTTAAAAATAATTCCATGTCATACATATCAGGAAGCTGACAAGTTGTTTTTCTGCAGAGCTTTTAGTACCTCCGAGGAAGAGAAATCAAAAACATAAATACTTTTTTCCTTTAAAGCAGTGGTACAGAAGCCTCCTCTAATTGCAAGAATTCCCAACACCTCCCTGAAATAAAAAGCAAGGCTGCAGTTTTAGGCAGGTTTTGCCTAAAACTTGAGATATCTTTAAAGTCACTGAAATTCAAACTGCCTGAAAAGAGGCCTTAGTAGAGGAGAAAGAAATGCTGCAGCATATCCTGGAGCAAGAAAACAGTGTTAGAATGATTTAGGGGAGGTATCACAGATGATCCAAGGAAACTGAAGTCATTCAACCCTCAGGGTGTGAAGGCAAAGGCTTGATCAAGAAGCACTTGAAATAACTGGAAGTGCTCAAGTGCAAGACAATTTAAAAGCCAAGTGAAGCCAGAGAAAAGCTTTAGGTTCAGTAGGACTGGAAAGAGGACATGGAAGGGGGTCATGTTCAGGTTGCAAGAGCAAGCTTCAAAGGTCAAAGATAGAAGCAAGTTTATGAGGCAATTTCCTTTCAGCCTATGCACAACCAATATATGAGATATCTACCCAGTTTCTAACTTTCGGTTTCTTTTTGCCAAATCTGAGTGCACAGCTGGGCACATAGGCAAGGATGGGTCACCATCCTTAGGCAAGGATGGGTCACTACCCTTGCAGACAGCTCCTCAAAAAAGCTACTGAACTCCACACACACATGCACAAAAAAAAAAAAAAAAGTCAGAAATGGATGGAGAAGCAAGTCAAACCACAGCCAAGTGCTCTCAGTTTAAAAAAGAAATGTGAAATACCACATGCTTGGGGGTGGCTTTTGCACAGCTTCCATCCACCAGCAATGCTTTCAGAATTTTTACTGACAACAGCTCTGAGTGGAAATTGTCCAAATATCTCTTAAATCCACAAGCTGATGACAGAGGACTGTTCAGCCCCAGAATCTTTATCTCGTCCTTTCAGCCATGACTTGCTTTTCTGCAGTGTTGCTCTTCACCAAAAACTCAGAAGCAATTAAAACAAGGTATGGTGGGGTTTTTTTGATAACCAAAGGGTAATCTTTACCAAGAGATCCCTCTGGGATGTGTTAGAAATACATCTGTGCTATCTGCCAGCAGTACCAACCCCTTACCCAGGCCACATGCTCAGTGCCATGTTTTCAGGAGAGCAGCCAGCACAGAGGACACTGAGCAGCGCTGGTAGCGCAGTCTCCATTGATTGTGAAAGAGGTCTGTAAACACGGCTAGAGATAAGGGAAAGAGCTGTACAAAGGACAAGCAGGAAGATATAGACAGATAGCCAAAAACTGCACTTCCATTGCTGCCAAAACCATAGGAGAACTTGGGCTGGCCAGAATAAAGGTTGCAAAGGGTAGTCAGGTACCACTGTGGCATTTTCCTCACAATAACATTTACTTTAGCACTTAATTCAGCTGTGGCTCTGGTGTTTTATTTATGGGAGCGGAATCTCTTGCAGACACGGTGTTCTTTCCCATGTACAGTGGGGCTGGTATGTGCCTCACCACTTGAGCCCCACACATAACAAGAGGGGAACAATTCAAAGATTTCTCTCAGGTGGTCCTGTCTTGAGTGGAAGAGCCACTATGTTAGCCTAGATGGTATTACCACTGGAAAATTCCTGCCCTGTTAGAGAAGCAGACTGTTTTAAAACAACTAATATGGGTTGTTCCCAGCTAAGACTATCCTCCTTGACAGGGTTTCACACTTTTCCATACTTTTGTCTGCTTAGAAGGAGAAAAAAAAAAAAAAAGAGGAGTTAGGTAGTCATTTTACATGTTATGGGCAGTAGGTTTGACGGCAAACCTGTTGAACTGGCATTGTGTGTATAAAAGCAAAACTTGCCTATTTTACAGTTCATTTTTCAATACCAAATTAAGACTTGCTTTTGTCACAACACCCTGCAATTCAGTGGTGCTGAAATGGAACCATACTTAGCCTTATTTGTTTAAATAGAATAAATAAAGAAACCAAATACAAGGTTTCTAAGTTAACATCCAGCGTGTATCCAACAGCTCACTGCTTCCAGTTTGGCAGAAAGGTGACTAACCTTTATGCCAGCCAAGCCTGGGAGAGGGAGGGAGGGCAGTGACCGGCAGTGACCTCAAGTGAGCCTGGAGCAAGCCCTCAGCAGCCGAGCGCCTGCGCCTCCACACCCGCAGGACTGTGACCAACAGGCCGACACGGAAGCAGAGGGGAACAACAGAGCTATAAATATCAGGGAGTCAAAGGATAAGTCTGAAGGCAAAAGCAACAGCCTCTTTATGCTGCAGCCCGCAGAGGTTTATGCTCCCCCCACCCTTGCGAAGCAAAGGGAAGGGCAGTTGAGCAGGACTGGGCAGCGTGTGGTGAGCACCAGGGATTTAGGGCAGGCAGGCTGCTGCCACCGCCACACACAGCAAAGGCAGAGTTGATCAATTAGCTGTTCTGTAACCCATTAAAAACCCGTTCAGCTGTGAACGGCCTGGACAGCTGTTGTAGCTAAATTTGCACAGGAGCTCAAGCACGCTACCTGGAACACCTATAAAAACAGAGCAAAAAATAGCCACACAGAAGGAAAAGGAAATTTTCCAGTTCCTCCTCTTCATCCATACCCACAAGCCAATGGCATGAACTGCTCTCAGGTATAGCCTTGCCCATAAGGATGTTCACTACAAAGAGCAGAAGGGCATTACTGTGCCCTTTAACTGTATTCCCACACCCTGTGACAGACATGCGGACAGCATAGGCAGACAGACAGCCTGGATAGCCATGAGTCCCCCTTCCAGACAGCATCAGTCAGAGAGACTCCAATCTGCTCTGCACAAGTGGGCTGCATTTATTCCGTTATTTGTGAATGCAAACACAGTACATTCAGTAACCACAATATTCTCAGCCATCCTTAGCACAGACGACAATCTAATTCCAAATGTATTTTTCCAGAGGAATTGTTTTTTAAATTGTACTTTTATACACAGTTGAACTTCTGGAACATGCACACACGTGAGGCATATGCAGGGTAAATGTATTCCTCTTACTCACTAGCCTCTAATAATTTTACCACAGGCACTGGAAATAACAGCTTGGCGTTGACACCGGGTTCCTGCCTACACAAACCCCCAGCAGCAGGGATGGAAAGGAGGTCAGCGGCACTCAGCCTCCCCAACGGCAACCCAGCAGTTTAAAAACACTTGTGCCATTTGAAAATGCCACACAGCTTGATCAGGACATGGATATGTGCTGCATACGCTGGGGGTGAGATGAAACAGTTTATTCACAGAAAACATCCTTTTTTACCACAGCTACATATTCCCTTCATATTTATCTGCTGTTGATATGATGCCCACCCTGCTCTCAACACTTTATAGGGCATTTCAGAAGCCACTGTGAATCACCCAGGTCCAAGATGAGGGAGAGGACCATGATGAGAAAGAATGTCTCCAGTAGGTCTCACCCTGCCTCAGCAAAGCCACTATGCACTTTTATTCTTCAATAAATCAGTGGGAATTGCCAGCTATTATTCAAACAAGCATAGACCCTCTGTAAAACAATAACAAAAAAATCTGGAAGAAGCTACTGAGTTCCTATTTTTAAGCACTGTTATTAATAACGTGCCACAGTTCTTGTCTATATCACCACAACATATAATAGCATTGAGAAATTACTGCAGCATATTATAATTATTTCACTAAGGACTCGGTGCCTCCATCTGTCAGCTTATACCTGCATCACAACGAAGAACAATGCAACCTAAAAATAAGTTACATGTACACTGTAATCTGTGCCCTATCACCTCTTCTCTGCTTATCCGGCCGAGTCTTGAAATCATGATTTGGGCAAGACTCCCAGAGAAACACTAACTAGAGACTGAAGAAGCAAGGTCCTCCTAACAACGCAGCTGTAGGAAACACGCTAAAGCCCAACTCCATCAAGAAGCGCCAAGCTAAATCTGTAAAAATCAGATTGCCTCCTAAGTGTCCCTGTTTAACTGGGGAGACCCGTGTTCACAGTGAGATAGACCAGCACTTGGTTTCAGGGACAGTGTTTTCCTCTGGTGAACAGGGACTGACCGAGTTACTGCTTGGATCTTGTCAGGAATTCAAAGTACTTAATTCCCACGTTCATAGTCCCTTGGTCTTTCTTTCCTAGTAAGAACAGCAGCAGCATCTTTTACCTTCAGGAATGGTCCTATTACTCTTTTCAAAGACAAAGCTAGAAAACCACCCTTCCTGCAGCTGTACCTCGAGTTCCCAAACCACAGAAAAACCACAAAGCATTAAACATTTCTGCTCACAGGATGGAGCTCTATGTGTAGCTACCTCATCTGTCTTCTACGGTCATGTAGTACATGCTTTCTGAAAAGCAGGATAAGGTTATAGTCTTGTGGCCTCTGCTCATGATTCAGGAGCAGTCAGTACAGCATCACTTCATAATTCACCAATTTATTACCATAAATCAGCCAATCCATTTAATCTTTGCCACATGGAATACAGCAAATCTTGCAGGATCTGCAGGAGTAAGCTGGCAGCTCTAGTTTAGCAAAATACCTGCAATCTGCAACATGAATCCAGTGACATGAAATATGTGTGCAGAATAGCCCAGCAGGCCTGGATTGAAATTATGTGGCCATTAAGTACTGCCAGATGTATCAATTACACATAT